CCCCTCCCCCCTCCCCCAGACAGAGAACCCAGGCATCCAGCCTCCCTGCCCCACCCTCCCCAGGAGCTCAGGTGTCTGGTCCCCCACTACCCTCAGCCCTAGCCCCCAAGAGGACAGGCATCTGGGAGACCCCCCCAGCTCTTCCAGGGGACCACCCTCCCCCCACCTCCAGAAAACCCAGGCATCTGGCTGCCCCGGCCCCTGCCCCAAACAGACCAGCGTGGAGACTTCAGTATTTTTTCATCTAGTTTTTATGTTTTCTGCTCATTTCTGGGCCTTTTTCTTTTTTTTTTTTCTTTGCCCCCAGTGGGGTTTGCTGCTTCTTTACAGGGGGGTGGGGGGGTGTAGACAGACCCTGCATCCCCCCCAACCACAGCCCTGGGAGGGGGGTGTCTGGGGCCATGAGAGGGACCCGGGGGCTTCTCCACAGTAGAAAAATAAATCCCATGAAGAGCCACGCGTATGCCAGGAGGCCTTGTGCAGCCCCGCCTGTGTCCCAGACGCCTGGGGTCATGTGGGACATGCATCTGCATGTGCCTGGCCCAGAGGCCTGGGGTCTGTGCGTATGAGCGTGCAGCTGCCCGTGTCCTGGATGCCTGCACTCTGTGCCCAGGCCGGGTCCTACCTGTGCCTACACTTGAGCATGTGCACACACACATCCCCAGCACCCGTGCTCTGTACGCGTGTCTGTCACACATGTATGAACCCAGATGCATGCCTGCATGAGACCCTTGGGCTCCACGCATGCATGGCCCCTTTGCTGTGCAGGTTCCACACGTGCGTGTCCCAGACACCTCGATTCTACAAGCGTGCGCGAGACACCAAGTTTCTACACACTGGTTTGACATGCACGTGCCAGACACCTGCATTCAACACAGACATGGGTACGTGTGCATGTCCCCAGCCCCTGGGCTCCATCTGCACACGTGTCTTCCACGCACCTGGTGCCAGTGGTGTCTACAGGTGTGTGCACGGCCCAGCTGCCGTGTCTGCCTGTGTGCACACACGGGCATGTTCCAGGTGCTGGGGGGTGTGGGGGCGGGGCCTCATGAATCACGCCACTCCGAACTGATCCGATAGAGTGAAACATAAATAGTGCTGGGGAGGCCCGTTCCCATGCCCAGGGGCTGGGGTCAGAGGTCAGAGGTCACAGCCCAGAGGGCCGTGGGTGGCACAACGCAGTGAGTGGCTCTGTGTATTTGGTGATGGGGACCAGGGCCCCCCCCTTCCCCTTATGGGGGCGGCTCCCAACCCCTTTGTAGTGCATCAGGGCCCCGGGCCCACAGCCAGGGGGCATGTACTTGTAGGGGGAGTAGGGGGTGGGAGAGCCTGGGGGTCCCATGGGCAAAGGGGGGGGGTCCCAGGGCGGTGGGGGCCACGGTGCGTCAGACGAAGGCGTACTGGTTGTGCACGGCCCGAGCCCAGGCCCCCTCGGCCCCATCCCCCACATCTTCCTCCTCATCCTCGTCTTCCTCATCCGGGCGCCTGGGGTCAGCCCCGGGGGGGGGCCGGGGTGGCCGGGGCTCAGCGGGGGAGGGGGCTCCGCGGTGCGGCTGCCACCCCGGTCCCTGCCTGCAGCGGGGAAGGGGCATGGGGTGGGACACAAATAAACAGGGCTGTGAGAGATGGGACGGACATAGGGCAACAGCGCAGGGAGTGCAGCACCCAACCCAGAGGCGGCACAGGACCATGGCACAGGCGCGTCCGCACACGTGCAGCAAGCACATAGCTTTGCATGCAGGCGCAAGTCCACGCATCACCCCGGTCCCTGCCTGCAGCGGGGAAGGGGCATGGGGTGGGACACAAATAAACAGGGCTGTGAGAGATGGGACGGACATAGGGCAACAGCGCAGGGAGTGCAGCACCCAACCCAGAGGCGGCACAGGACCATGGCACAGGCGCGTCCGCACACGTGCAGCAAGCACATAGCTTTGCATGCAGGCGCAAGTCCACGCATCAACCAAGAGACCAGCATCCAGACACGTACAGCTCCATGCATGCAGGCTCCCATTCAAGCACGTGTCCAGGAATACCAACCACCTGTATGGACGTGCAGACATGGGAGTCTGTATGTGTTCCTCCATATAGGAGCACACGTAAATCCAAGTGTGTGTTCCACAACATGTGTGTGTGCGTGCACTTGCAAGAATCTGCACGTTCACGGACATGTGCGCCTGTGTACCCACAAATGCCCACAAATCCAGGCACACGCATGCGTGTACCTACAAAAAAAAACCCCTACGTGTCTGCCACCTGTGCACCTACCAGCAGCCAACTGCTGCAGCACCCATCTCAGCACACACACATACGTGCCACTGCACTTGCATGCTCCCACACAAACATAAAAATGCGCATACCTACACATGTACACGTACAAGCATACACAACCAGCCTCACACGTGTTCATGCACACGCCAGTACAGGCATGGCTCGGAGCACATGCAAGCACACTTATCCAGGCACATGTGCACACAGGTGGGTTCCCATGTCCCTGCACCCCATGGCGAAGGGCTGGGGGAGTGAGGGAGGTCCCTGGCCTAGCCGTTGCAGGGCGGGGGGGGAGGTCCTCAGTGTCTCACCGTGGGGGCGCTGGGCAGCCACGACATAGCTGACAAGGGTGACGTCGGCGGCGCCGCCTGACTCTAGGGGGATGGGGTGCACGCGGAAGTGTTCCAGCATGTCGAACACTGTCTGGAACCACAAGTGCTGCACACGGCACTGCCCCTCCTCCGTCAGCGACAGCCGCAGGTGCTGCAGGGGGGAGGGAAGAGCACGCTCAACCGCCATGTCCGTATGCCCCCCACTCCCTCGGAAGTCACCCAGTGCCCCCCAGCCCAGCCCAACCCAGCCTCCCAGGACCCCATGCAGGCCTGCAGGGCCTCACCTTGGCTTTGCCCTGGAAGTTGAAGGTGAGGACAAACTCCCCACGCCGCGTCTCACTCTGGCGCACCAGGAAGACGCCATGGGCACTGGCGCCACC